TTAGTTTGAGTAAATGGCTATGGCTAAAAATATGGTTCAGGTATCAAATTAAAGCTGAAGAAATATTTTAAAGAAATAATACTGCTGAAGAAAAACTTGAGAAAAATGCAATGGTTCAGGTGTGGTGGAGTGACAAAGATACAATGTTAAGTTTATGGGAAGGCAAGTTACAAACATGTTGAGCACTCTTATGCTATCTAGCAATTTAGCTTTCCTAAACCATTTGAATAACCCATTAATCACCACTACTGTAAATTTCTGCTTTGTTTCCTAATTATAAGTTAATTAAAAAATATTTTGTATTATTTTTTTAACAAATTAGTTTTGTCAATATTGACTACATCACCATCTATCAACTTTTAGTACCACTATCCATTTATATTTTATTATTACTTCATGATGAGATCAAAACCTGATTCTAACCATCCAATCCATTACTTAATGCTGATTGATGGCTTTCTTAACAAATTTACCAACTAAAAGAAGAATAAACTTAAACATATGACTGTTGGTAGGTTAATAATTCTATAACAACCAATAAAATTGCCACAAAGCGAGCTGACACTATCTCACTGTTAATGCAAAACCTTGCCAGATGAATTTGATCAATCTTAGGAATGCTAAATTGCCACCTTGGGACCTGGATGCAAAATTGGAAGCCATTAAGAGAGAGGACTGATTGAAGATGCCTCATGATACCAGAGAATAAGTAAATGCAAATCACTTGTAAATGGCCATGAAAACACTTGCTGTACAGATGATTTTTGTATAGAATGCCAAATTTTGAAAGAACTCATTGTATTTTAATTGAATAAATCCATCAATTTCAACAGGTTCCTGCTAGTTACTAAATTTAATTTAAAATAATAATTACACTATTTACACAATAGATAAAATAAAGCTGAATTTTTTATAAATTAAAATCTACACAGTGTTATGGCACAGGTAACAGCAGAGTGCCAGTTTTTGTATATTGTCTCAGGTTTCATTTCTTCCTTTGTTGGTGGTTCAGTTTTTATGTAAACCTTATATATGCTGCAATATAATAAAACTGTTCTTTTGAGCTTAATAACAAACTTCATGTTGTCATTGTTCACTGAATATGCCAATTTGTTTCTTTTTTCATAATTAAAATATGTCACTGTTTTATCCTGATTACAAATATAAAATAGTTTTTATTTCAAACAATCAAAAATTTTTGAATTGAAATAACATGACTTCCAGTTTGCATTGAAAGTTTTTATATTAATAGGGGCCTCCTGCCCTTGAGGTTTCCATGTCTGGTCTCTTCTTACATCTATCTAACTCAGTTTTAAGATTAAGGAAAGACAGATGGATGACAGTGGAAATTTATAAGTCTATGATTTTTTCAAATTGCAGCCCAGTCACCAGAGAGAAGAGGATAAAATTATTTCCAATTCAAGATCCCAATGATCTTCCAACATCACTGAATGTAAAACTAGAATGTTTCTTTTGGGACCACTCCAAAGAACTCAGGTATTTAACCACTTGTCCATTCATTTATTTATAATTGAAATTATAAATAATAAAACTATTAAAATTTTAGACTTATAATAAAACTAAATTGTTACCTTTAGCCTTGTTTCTCTCATTTCAAGAAGATAATTATATTCTTCTAATTTTGTTTGATATTCTTTTTCCATTTGCTCAGTTTTCTTTTTTATAGTCTCAATTTCTGCTTCATAATCTTTATTTATTTTATACTGTACAACTAACATATTTCGTGTCTTATCCAGCTCTGCGATTGTTTCTGCATGGTCAATTTGTGACTGAAAAAATATCTAATATGTAATATAAATAGCATATTTCACATAAATGATATATTGTATAATATTTTTTAAAGGTACATAAATAAACTTTAAACTTTTATCAGGATTCAGTATGGTACTCTAATTACAACTCTGTGTATCAATTTTTTCATAACCCCACCTAGATGACTTATGTGGCCTGAAATTCTACACCCCATGGGTGACCACATAAGTAAGGATTTTACTATATTTGATATCAAAAATAATTTAATTTTTTACTTGTTGTAATTCTGCTTTTAAATCCTTTTCTTCCTTCTCATTTGACTTATCAGTATTTGCTACATCTAATTTTCTTCTTTGAATAAGGTCTAGAGCTTCCTCAAGTTGTAATATATCAATGTCTGTTTCCTGTTTTAAAAACAAAAATTGTAATTCAATAACAATCCAAACATTTACTTTCAAAACTTTTCATTTAAAAATATTTTAAACAAATTTATTTCTATAAATATATAGAAATGCTTTTGCTATATATAGCAAAAATCAGTTTAAATAATATTTATTTAATTTTTATATTGACACAAAAAAATCATGTTAAAAAATTTGTAAGATTCTTATAATCTTCAATCAATACAAAATGATTATAATATAAATGGTTGACTAACAAACTATAAATATTGTTTTAAAAAATTATTTTAAAGTAACTTTTTGTATAAAAAAAAGACATACTGATAAAATTCTCTTAAACATGATGTATAAAATACATTACAGAATTTCAAGAAATGATTTAACTATAAGATTTAATTAAAAAATTTGAAATATTATTTTTAAATTTAATTAAAGATTTTACAAAATTAATAAATTTTTAAAGTTATTACTTCAAGCAAAAATTTTCAAAATTAACACAGATGTCTGCCTGATATATAATACTAATAATAAATATAGACACATACTACCACATTTATTTAATTTTTGTCTTACTTTGGTTGCTATGCCTTGACTCTGGCCTGTCATAGTACACAGCAACAGATGCCAACTGAGTATAACTCACTAAACCCAACAAATGATTACTGGCTAGTTAAAAATTCATGACATTTACCAAAACAGATCAGATCATATACACAAAAATTACAAAAAATATTATAATAAAGTTTGACAGACAGAATAAAGTATTAAACATCATAATAAATCACACATCTCACTCATCAACAAAATAAAGCACATCATAAGCACACACTACATACCATATGCAATGAAAAACATTAATATACGGATCTCAGCCAAAAAATAAAACATCTAGTAAAAAACATAAGATATACTTATTATGCTCTTTTCCAAAAGATATCTTGCCACACATATTATACAAAAGTCTAAACCTTAATAACACAATTTCTATCATACTACAGGAAGTAGTATGTTGTATCAGGTTGTTACAAAGTGAAATTTAGACATTTCAATTTTTTCTAGAAACAAGTGGAAAAAATATTCTAGAAGGTTCAATGTAGATATATAAGTAGAGTAACCAAAGGTTGTTTCATCATATATTTCTTTGGAAATGTTTGACAACATGAAACTTTTGAAAGAACATTTGCATGCTGTTGTTCTATCACTTCAAAAGTGGTCCCATCACAATGAAGGTGTATGATCTCATTTGTAAAACATTTGTTAAAGCATTCATAGTTGAACAAAGGTCAACCAGCTGTTGCAATGTCATAGAGCCAATAGTGAAATTATATAAATCAAATTACTTAGTTTCATAAATATTTTAAAATCAGAATAGTCATCTAAAACTGGAGTTAATGGTTTCAGATATCTATCTCTACATCTTTATCCCAATAATGATATCAGCATTCGTATTTTCATAAATAAGATGGACTGGGTATTCCTGGNTTATTCCCAAAAAATATATACGTATTTTGGAAATGTTGAGTCGGATTAGTCTAGAATCGATTAATTTTATGGAAGAAAATCTTTCAAACAGCCGTAGTCCGTAAACTTGATACGTGTCGGGTTGTGATTGAAAGGATTTGTAAGAAATCGGATTCCTAAAGAATGGAACATATCTCTATCTTATAGGGGGGGGGTTGACTGTATGAAAAATTTAATTCAGTTGACAGGTATGAAATAATTATAATGTACTTACAGAATTAATATGAATTTCAAGTAAATTCTTTCCTCTTTCAAGCTCAACAACATTCTCCTGATCTTCCTATAAATAAAATAACAGAAAATGTAATAAAGTATTATTGTTTTCAAAAATTTTAAAAGATTTTAATTATGCAATAAATAATATAATGGAATAAATCTAAAATAAATAATGGAATAATTTTAAAATATAGGTAAATACTGATTCAAATTATAGGATACTGTGTATCTATAGATATTTTAGGAATTGGTTATTATCTAACAAGTTGTATTCCTAATCATTTAGGAAAAATAGTAGATTCTCAATTATTAACACTAGGAAAATGGAAGAGTTTTGCAAAACAATCCTAAATTTAATAAATCTTATTATTGCTGTAAAATTGAATTCTAAAAAAATGAAGAAATTGTATTAAAAATAATATTGATTGTTATTTATTGTTTTATTATATATATTATTATATTATTATATGAATTTATTATTTTTAAATACAATTTTACTATTATTTGTTATTGTTTTAAGTGACAAGAATATAATACTTATTCATATTTTATTATATTTCAATTTAAAAAAAGATTCTAATAAACTATTAATATTATCTCTGATATACACGTTTGGTTTTATAAAATTAAATGCAAATAACTGTAATTAATATCATGACATAATAAAAAAAAAATGTTATTTGTACTGCATATAAATGCATGAGTAACTTTTTCAATATAATAAATTTATTTATCTAACCACCTAAAAGGAGTTTATTGACTAATAAACAAAAATTGTTATGTCCTTCTGATCCAACTGTTCACCAGAGTTCAAGAATTACTCAGAAGTAATTTTAATTTCCATATGTTTTGTTTAAATGCATTTTGGATCCAACTTTTTTGTCGATCCCTCTTCAGTCTACAAAGTATAAATTTTTTGTTGCAAATTTAATTGTAAATTTACAACAAAAAATTATATCACAATAATGATGTTGCTGTTGATGATGTATAGAATGACATCATACAAAAAGATAAAAAGATGTTATAGGATGCATGATGATTGTTTTATGTAGAATTTTAAGAGTGGTTTTAGATAGTTGTGAATACTTGGAGAAGTCTGTGTCATAAACAGTACCTACTGTAAAATATTTGTGTAAACATTGTAAGTCATTTATTTATATTTAATTTTTTTTAAGATGTTTTAATTGTAAATTTACAACAAAAAATTTATACTTTGTAGACTGAAGAGGAATCGACAAAAAAGTTGGATCCAAAATGTGTTTAAATAAAACATATGGAAATTAAAATTACTTCTCAATAATTCTTGAACTCTGGTAAACAGTCGGATTAAAAAGACAACAATTTTTGTTTATTAGTCTACAAACCCCTCTCAGCTGGTTAGATAAATAACCGATTAAGCTGACTAATATTGCTAAATTTATCTGATTAATAATAAATTTATTAATGTTATGTATTACACTAATTCAATTTATTTTTACACTGTTTCAACATATATTATTATAGAATTAAAATTAATAAAATTAAACAAAACTTAAAATCAGTAATATTGTTAATATTACTGATTTTATTTTTATATATTTTATAACAGAAAAATTATAACAAAATATATATAAATAAAAAACAAAATTATAAAGTTTCCTATTAAAACTTCATAATCCATGACTCAAAAAAGAAGACAAATTGGTAATTTTTAGTGTATTGTTTAATTTCAATAATATTTTATCAACCTGTAATTATTACTGAAACTAAATAAACAAAATTATACTAAATAATTATCTATTTAGCATAAACACAGTGTACCTTCAATTTTACAAACTAATTTGGGGAAAGGGGTGTCTGCCATTTCTGAAAGTTATTAAATCAAATTATTATTATGACACATAAGATATAAATAACAGAATAATATAATGTACTGTACAGTACATTGAGTAATTTATACTCATTGATTGTCAATCTAAGCCTTTTTAACATGCTCTATTTGCAAATAAAAACAATTTTAAATATTTACTATGGAACAAATTTTTGTCCATTAAATCAGATTATAAAATGGATTAAAGCAGAGCACCAGGAGTGTACTGTATTCCTCTTAGGAATGATAGATTCCAAAGGGACTTAGTATATATTGGCTCAACTATACATTCAATATGTAAAAGGGTACATGAACATCAATATGATCTTGTTAACAACAGGCATACCACCGCCCTGTCCACAAACGCCACAGACCTGGAAGTACATGTGGACCTCCAGAACACCAGATTAATTAGGCATGTCTTTCAAATAGACCATATCCGCTTGGAAAATTTATAAAGGCAACTCTATTAACTTTAAAGACTGCGAGATGGTGGCGCATGTGTGGAAGTACCTGTAAGAGAAATTCGAACAAAGTCAATCAACCACATGAATTTTATATATTCAAAGTTTAAAGTCAAGCATCATTGTTCTAACATTCCAATTTTTGGAAGTCAGTTTTGTTAAACACCTGAGGCAGGCCTTGGTGAAGACCGAAAATGTTTGAAAATTACGTTAAAGTTCAATTACTGGTTATAAAGGGATTTACTATCTTATTTAATCAATATGTGATAGTTAAATGATTATATCATATATAACATATTCAATCCAACTCAAATAAGTAATTAAAAAATAGCATTGTTACTATAATATACAGTGGGTGATCGGTTAACAAACAGTTCAGGTAGCAAACAAATTGGATAATGAACACTTTCGCGAAAGATTTTTATGATTGGACAATGAACACATGTTCAGATAACAAACACTTTACTGAACAAACATAAAAAGAAGCAACGGAAAATAACAAATACCAATTGATTTTCACTTGTCTTCAGGTAACAATTCAAAACCTTTCTGAGCGCGGGAGACATCAACATTGACGCTCAACCCAATACCAATCAGATAGTATTCCTCCAAATTTTGAAACTCTCCCTCATAATTCCATCTTTTTGTTTACCTTTCTGACAAATAATTTTTTATAGTCTTTGCATGACTGTTGGACAGGCACTTGTTAAGTTTTGCATCGAGTTTATTTACGAAACTTTCACCGTTTATTTACGAAAGTAAATAAACAATGAAAGTTTAACTGTCCCATCAGATATTAACATTTTAATTCCAAATTTCAAATTTCATCCAGGCCTTTCATTTAAATAATTTTTCGTGGGCTAATTGATTTCTGTTCTCTGAATTTTTGTAAGTGCTTTTCTGAACTTTTTATTTAAAAAAAAAACTGATATTATGGAGCCTAAAAAGAGGAGTGTCAAGAACTATGCTCACCATAGAAACCAAGTAAGAAATAATAGCCAAGGTAGAAAGTGCACACAAGTTGTCTGATGTTGCTAGGCAGTATGGCTCGAACAGGTCTACAGTAGGCACAATCTTAGCTATGAAAGATATATCAAGAAGTCTCAAGCTGCTAATGGAGTAATAAAAATCACATCTGTAAAATAAAGAGCATTTTAGAGCTCATAATGGAACCTGAAACTGATCTGACGACAGAAGAACTCCAAGAACTCTCAAATGAAAAATACCAAGAAACTCAGCGAGATGTGTTTCCTTTTGAAAAAGAGGAAGACAAAAGAGGACCAATGTCAACATCTGCTACTAAAAACCTTTTGGAGAAGTGGGATGATGTCAGAACAACGATCATCTAAGTGGCATCCAAACCAGAATACGGTTAATGGGGTTGGGATCTCTACAATTACAACACTATTAATCACTTCCGAAAAATCCTGAAGAAAAGAGTAAAGCAATCGACATTGGACAGATTCTTTAACACCCACAAACGAAAAAAACATAACTAATAAAAATGCAAGACTGCATATATATGTATTTTTACTATTACATATAAATAAACATAGTAAAAAAGTATAAATTTTTTATTTTTTGTAGTCTCCGGAACGAATTAATCAAATTCCCATAAAAACCTATGGTAAATCGATTATCGGTTAATGAACAATTCGGATAACAAATACTCTTGGAATGGATTATGTTCATTAACTGATCACACACTATTATTCATTATTGTATAAATTTAGTCAGTTTATAAATATAATCTGAATTAAAATATACTTACTAAATCAGCTGTTTGTATTTTATATTTGTTGGTTCCATATGCAATATCATTAAGTTCTCTTTCCAATTTCTGAGTAAAAATAAGAAAAAATAGAATAAAACTGTTGTGTAGTTTAAAATTTTATTTTACAGTAACTAAGTTATATTAAATTTTCATATATAATATTTAATAACTTTTAAACAAGAAAATTTAAAATAATAATTACACTATTTACACAATAGATAAAATAAAGCTGAATTTTTTATAAATTAAAATCTACACAGTGTTATGGCACAGGTAACAGCAGAGTGCCAGTTTTTGTATATTGTCTCAGGTTTCATTTCTTCCTTTGTTGGTGGTTCAGTTTTTATGTAAACCTTATATATGCTGCAATATAATAAAACTGTTCTTTTGAGCTTAATAACAAACTTCATGTTGTCATTGTTCACTGAATATGCCAATTTGTTTCTTTTTTCATAATTAAAATATGTCACTGTTTTATCCTGATTACAAATATAAAATAGTTTTTATTTCAAACAATCAAAAATTTTTGAATTGAAATAACATGACTTCCAGTTTGCATTGAAAGTTTTTATATTAATAGGGGCCTCCTGCCCTTGAGGTTTCCATGTCTGGTCTCTTCTTACATCTATCTAACTCAGTTTTAAGATTAAGGAAAGACAGATGGATGACAGTGGAAATTTATAAGTCTATGATTTTTTCAAATTGCAGCCCAGTCACCAGAGAGAAGAGGATAAAATTATTTCCAATTCAAGATCCCAATGATCTTCCAACATCACTGAATGTAAAACTAGAATGTTTCTTTTGGGACCACTCCAAAGAACTCAGGTATTTAACCACTTGTCCATTCATTTATTTATAATTGAAATTATAAATAATAAAACTATTAAAATTTTAGACTTATAATAAAACTAAATTGTTACCTTTAGCCTTGTTTCTCTCATTTCAAGAAGATAATTATATTCTTCTAATTTTGTTTGATATTCTTTTTCCATTTGCTCAGTTTTCTTTTTTATAGTCTCAATTTCTGCTTCATAATCTTTATTTATTTTATACTGTACAACTAACATATTTCGTGTCTTATCCAGCTCTGCGATTGTTTCTGCATGGTCAATTTGTGACTGAAAAAATATCTAATATGTAATATAAATAGCATATTTCACATAAATGATATATTGTATAATATTTTTTAAAGGTACATAAATAAACTTTAAACTTTTATCAGGATTCAGTATGGTACTCTAATTACAACTCTGTGTATCAATTTTTTCATAACCCCACCTAGATGACTTATGTGGCCTGAAATTCTACACCCCATGGGTGACCACATAAGTAAGGATTTTACTATATTTGATATCAAAAATAATTTAATTTTTTACTTGTTGTAATTCTGCTTTTAAATCCTTTTCTTCCTTCTCATTTGACTTATCAGTATTTGCTACATCTAATTTTCTTCTTTGAATAAGGTCTAGAGCTTCCTCAAGTTGTAATATATCAATGTCTGTTTCCTGTTTTAAAAACAAAAATTGTAATTCAATAACAATCCAAACATTTACTTTCAAAACTTTTCATTTAAAAATATTTTAAACAAATTTATTTCTATAAATATATAGAAATGCTTTTGCTATATATAGCAAAAATCAGTTTAAATAATATTTATTTAATTTTTATATTGACACAAAAAAATCATGTTAAAAAATTTGTAAGATTCTTATAATCTTCAATCAATACAAAATGATTATAATATAAATGGTTGACTAACAAACTATAAATATTGTTTTAAAAAATTATTTTAAAGTAACTTTTTGTATAAAAAAAAGACATACTGATAAAATTCTCTTAAACATGATGTATAAAATACATTACAGAATTTCAAGAAATGATTTAACTATAAGATTTAATTAAAAAATTTGAAATATTATTTTTAAATTTAATTAAAGATTTTACAAAATTAATAAATTTTTAAAGTTATTACTTCAAGCAAAAATTTTCAAAATTAACACAGATGTCTGCCTGATATATAATACTAATAATAAATATAGACACATACTACCACATTTATTTAATTTTTGTCTTACTTTGGTTGCTATGCCTTGACTCTGGCCTGTCATAGTACACAGCAACAGATGCCAACTGAGTATAACTCACTAAACCCAACAAATGATTACTGGCTAGTTAAAAATTCATGACATTTACCAAAACAGATCAGATCATATACACAAAAATTACAAAAAATATTATAATAAAGTTTGACAGACAGAATAAAGTATTAAACATCATAATAAATCACACATCTCACTCATCAACAAAATAAAGCACATCATAAGCACACACTACATACCATATGCAATGAAAAACATTAATATACGGATCTCAGCCAAAAAATAAAACATCTAGTAAAAAACATAAGATATACTTATTATGCTCTTTTCCAAAAGATATCTTGCCACACATATTATACAAAAGTCTAAACCTTAATAACACAATTTCTATCATACTACAGGAAGTAGTATGTTGTATCAGGTTGTTACAAAGTGAAATTTAGACATTTCAATTTTTTCTAGAAACAAGTGGAAAAAATATTCTAGAAGGTTCAATGTAGATATATAAGTAGAGTAACCAAAGGTTGTTTCATCATATATTTCTTTGGAAATGTTTGACAACATGAAACTTTTGAAAGAACATTTGCATGCTGTTGTTCTATCACTTCAAAAGTGGTCCCATCACAATGAAGGTGTATGATCTCATTTGTAAAACATTTGTTAAAGCATTCATAGTTGAACAAAGGTCAACCAGCTGTTGCAATGTCATAGAGCCAATAGTGAAATTATATAAATCAAATTACTTAGTTTCATAAATATTTTAAAATCAGAATAGTCATCTAAAACTGGAGTTAATGGTTTCAGATATCTATCTCTACATCTTTATCCCAATAATGATATCAGCATTCGTATTTTCATAAATAAGATGGACTGGGTATTCCTGGGCACAAGGTAAAGCCAGACATAAAATGTAAAAAATAAATGATTGTCACCACTGTCATGTTGTGTCAAGATTCCCATCAGCCATGTAGTATTGATATATGTTATGCTTGTGTTTTTGCCATGTTTTGTGCATCTGAAGAATTGCTGTTTTAGAAAAACTTTTTCATATGAGAAGTGTTTATTATAAGTATCATATGAAATTTTTCAATATGTTTTATGCTATTTATTTGCTATATATCAAAACTTAGATAGATTAATATTTCTCATTCCAAAGTCGATTAGAATCAAACATTTGGTGATTTGGGACAACCATGGACATTTTGTCAGTGCAACTACAAACATTTTCTTGAGGCAATCATAGACAAATTTATAATGTCTGGAACTGGAATTGTCTCAAAGTTCAATTTTTGGTATATTTACTTGATTTTTTTTATAATACCCTATAGTTTTAGTTTTATTTTAGGTTGCCATGGTCAGGATCTACTCCTGACTAAGGCAACGTAAAATGATAGTGATTTAATATTTGATTTGTTCATTTCCCTTTTTTTATAAATTGAAAAATCTATTGTATTTCAATTTTTAATGAATATGCATAAATTATATTTTACTTCTTTACTTCCTTTGTCTGAAAAATTTCAGCCATTTTCTAGCTGTCTGTCATTATCTCAGGTACTGTCTGCTATTTTTCCATATCACAGAAGAATATCAGACACTGCTTAGTTACCTAGTTTTTTATTTTTAGGTAGAAAAACTGGTTAAATATTTTAATGTCATCTAAATATGTAAAATTACTTGTCCTGACTGACTGACTAATTCATCATTGCCCAGAGCAAACTGCTGAACCTAAAAAGGTGAAATTTGGTACACAGTTAGGGTACGTCATGAAAACACACAGTAAGAACGGATTTTTTAAAATTCCCCCTGCAGGGGAGAGGGAAAGGATTAAGGCTTAACCTGAAGAACAGCTTCTACTGTACTATTTTAGATTTGATTTTTTGTTTTCAACTACGTTTAGTCTTCATTGAGTACTTAGGTGTATTAAATTGATAACATTTCAGACATTGTTATAAATATTTTTATATATTTCAATTTTTTAACCAAATGTTCAAACTGTTTTAAATTCAAATTTGTTATTGCATATTGGTTTGATTGTAGAACAATTGTAAATGTTCCAGAAAATTGATCAAATTGAACACTTTGATTCTCAGCAATTCTCATCATTCTCAGTGGTAGGTGTTATATAACAATTACTATGGTTATTGAAATACTGAATATAAATGGGGTTTGCTTGCAAAACCCCATTTATATTTGAAGGCGAAGTCATGGGTAACAGCTAGTATAACATATAGTCTATTTACTTGCATATAAGATGAGGTTTTTATTCATTTATCACAGCTTCAAATTCCTAGGTCATCCTATACATGCAAGCGAAAGATTCTTTGCATTTTTGCAAATAATTTTTGTGAACCACGTATTCACATTTTTTTACCAGACACTTACCCTCTTGTATTTAAAAACATAAATATTTTNGCTCTTTGCTGAGCTGTTCCGCGACGAAAACAATGTTGAGCAATGGCAATGTCGAATGGTGACACTCGGTAAGTAATCCTACAATTTTTTGTTTATAGCGTAGTTTATATGGATTATTCCCAAAAAATATATACGTATTTTGGAAATGTTGAGTCGGATTAGTCTAGAATCGATTAATTTTATGGAAGAAAATCTTTCAAACAGCCGTAGTCCGTAAACTTGATACGTGTCGGGTTGTGATTGAAAGGATTTGTAAGAAATCGGATTCCTAAAGAATGGAACATATCTCTATCTTATAGGGGGGGGGTTGACTGTATGAAAAATTTAATTCAGTTGACAGGTATGAAATAATTATAATGTACTTACAGAATTAATATGAATTTCAAGTAAATTCTTTCCTCTTTCAAGCTCAACAACATTCTCCTGATCTTCCTATAAATAAAATAACAGAAAATGTAATAAAGTATTATTGTTTTCAAAAATTTTAAAAGATTTTAATTATGCAATAAATAATATAATGGAATAAATCTAAAATAAATAATGGAATAATTTTAAAATATAGGTAAATACTGATTCAAATTATAGGATACTGTGTATCTATAGATATTTTAGGAATTGGTTATTATCTAACAAGTTGTATTCCTAATCATTTAGGAAAAATAGTAGATTCTCAATTATTAACACTAGGAAAATGGAAGAGTTTTGCAAAACAATCCTAAATTTAATAAATCTTATTATTGCTGTAAAATTGAATTCTAAAAAAATGAAGAAATTGTATTAAAAATAATATTGATTGTTATTTATTGTTTTATTATATATATTATTATATTATTATATGAATTTATTATTTTTAAATACAATTTTACTATTATTTGTTATTGTTTTAAGTGACAAGAATATAATACTTATTCATATTTTATTATATTTCAATTTAAAAAAAGATTCTAATAAACTATTAATATTATCTCTGATATACACGTTTGGTTTTATAAAATTAAATGCAAATAACTGTAATTAATATCATGACATAATAAAAAAAAAATGTTATTTGTACTGCATATAAATGCATGAGTAACTTTTTCAATATAATAAATTTATTTATCTAACCACCTAAAAGGAGTTTATTGACTAATAAACAAAAATTGTTATGTCCTTCTGATCCAACTGTTCACCAGAGTTCAAGAATTACTCAGAAGTAATTTTAATTTCCATATGTTTTGTTTAAATGCATTTTGGATCCAACTTTTTTGTCGATCCCTCTTCAGTCTACAAAGTATAAATTTTTTGTTGCAAATTTAATTGTAAATTTACAACAAAAAATTATATCACAATAATGATGTTGCTGTTGATGATGTATAGAATGACATCATACAAAAAGATAAAAAGATGTTATAGGATGCATGATGATTGTTTTATGTAGAATTTTAAGAGTGGTTTTAGATAGTTGTGAATACTTGGAGAAGTCTGTGTCATAAACAGTACCTACTGTAAAATATTTGTGTAAACATTGTAAGTCATTTATTTATATTTAATTTTTTTTAAGATGTTTTAATTGTAAATTTACAACAAAAAATTTATACTTTGTAGACTGAAGAGGAATCGACAAAAAAGTTGGATCCAAAATGTGTTTAAATAAAACATATGGAAATTAAAATTACTTCTCAATAATTCTTGAACTCTGGTAAACAGTCGGATTAAAAAGACAACAATTTTTGTTTATTAGTCTACAAACCCCTCTCAGCTGGTTAGATAAATAACCGATTAAGCTGACTAATATTGCTAAATTTATCTGATTAATAATAAATTTATTAATGTTATGTATTACACTAATTCAATTTATTTTTACACTGTTTCAACATATATTATTATAGAATTAAAATTAATAAAATTAAACAAAACTTAAAATCAGTAATATTGTTAATATTACTGATTTTATTTTTATATATTTTATAACAGAAAAATTATAACAAAATATATATAAATAAAAAACAAAATTATAAAGTTTCCTATTAAAACTTCATAATCCATGACTCAAAAAAGAAGACAAATTGGTAATTTTTAGTGTATTGTTTAATTTCAATAATATTTTATCAACCTGTAATTATTACTGAAACTAAATAAACAAAATTATACTAAATAATTATCTATTTAGCATAAACACAGTGTACCTTCAATTTTACAAACTAATTTGGGGAAAGGGGTGTCTGCCATTTCTGAAAGTTATTAAATCAAATTATTATTATGACACATAAGATATAAATAACAGAATAATATAATGTACTGTACAGTACATTGAGTAATTTATACTCATTGATTGTCAATCTAAGCCTTTTTAACATGCTCTATTTGCAAATAAAAACAATTTTAAATATTTACTATGGAACAAATTTTTGTCCATTAAATCAGATTATAAAATGGATTAAAGCAGAGCACCAGGAGTGTACTGTATTCCTCTTAGGAATGATAGATTCCAAAGGGACTTAGTATATATTGGCTCAACTATACATTCAATATGTAAAAGGGTACATGAACATCAATATGATCTTGTTAACAACAGGCATACCACCGCCCTGTCCACAAACGCCACAGACCTGGAAGTACATGTGGACCTCCAGAACACCAGATTAATTAGGCATGTCTTTCAAATAGACCATATCCGCTTGGAAAATTTATAAAGGCAACTCTATTAACTTTAAAGACTGCGAGATGGTGGCGCATGTGTGGAAGTACCTGTAAGAGAAATTCGAACAAAGTCAATCAACCACATGAATTTTATATATTCAAAGTTTAAAGTCAAGCATCATTGTTCTAACATTCCAATTTTTGGAAGTCAGTTTTGTTAAACACCTGAGGCAGGCCTTGGTGAAGACCGAAAATGTTTGAAAATTACGTTAAAGTTCAATTACTGGTTATAAAGGGATTTACTATCTTATTTAATCAATATGTGATAGTTAAATGATTATATCATATATAACATATTCAATCCAACTCAAATAAGTAATTAAAAAATAGCATTGTTACTATAATATACAGTGGGTGATCGGTTAACAAACAGTTCAGGTAGCAAACAAATTGGATAATGAACACTTTCGCGAAAGATTTTTATGATTGGACAATGAACACATGTTCAGATAACAAACACTTTACTGAACAAACATAAAAAGAAGCAACGGAAAATAACAAATACCAATTGATTTTCACTTGTCTTCAGGTAACAATTCAAAACCTTTCTGAGCGCGGGAGACATCAACATTGACGCTCAACCCAATACCAATCAGATAGTATTCCTCCAAATTTTGAAACTCTCCCTCATAATTCCATCTTTTTGTTTACCTTTCTGACAAATAATTTTTTATAGTCTTTGCATGACTGTTGGACAGGCACTTGTTAAGTTTTGCATCGAGTTTATTTACGAAACTTTCACCGTTTATTTACGAAAGTAAATAAACAATGAAAGTTTAACTGTCCCATCAGATATTAACATTTTAATTCCAAATTTCAAATTTCATCCAGGCCTTTCATTTAAATAATTTTTCGTGGGCTAATTGATTTCTGTTCTCTGAATTTTTGTAAGTGCTTTTCTGAACTTTTTATTTAAAAAAAAAACTGATATTATGGAGCCTAAAAAGAGGAGTGTCAAGAACTATGCTCACCATAGAAACCAAGTAAGAAATAATAGCCAAGGTAGAAAGTGCACACAAGTTGTCTGATGTTGCTAGGCAGTATGGCTCGAACAGGTCTACAGTAGGCACAATCTTAGCTATGAAAGATATATCAAGAAGTCTCAAGCTGCTAATGGAGTAATAAAAATCACATCTGTAAAATAAAGAGCATTTTAGAGCTCATAATGGAACCTGAAACTGATCTGACGACAGAAGAACTCCAAGAACTCTCAAATGAAAAATACCAAGAAACTCAGCGAGATGTGTTTCCTTTTGAAAAAGAGGAAGACAAAAGAGGACCAATGTCAACATCTGCTACTAAAAACCTTTTGGAGAAGTGGGATGATGTCAGAACAACGATCATCTAAGTGGCATCCAAACCAGAATACGGTTAATGGGGTTGGGATCTCTACAATTACAACACTATTAATCACTTCCGAAAAATCCTGAAGAAAAGAGTAAAGCAATCGACATTGGACAGATTCTTTAACACCCACAAACGAAAAAAACATAACTAATAAAAATGCAAGACTGCATATATATGTATTTTTACTATTACATATAAATAAACATAGTAAAAAAGTATAAATTTTTTATTTTTTGTAGTCTCCGGAACGAATTAATCAAATTCCCATAAAAACCTATGGTAAATCGATTATCGGTTAATGAACAATTCGGATAACAAATACTCTTGGAATGGATTATGTTCATTAACTGATCACACACTATTATTCATTATTGTATAAATTTAGTCAGTTTATAAATATAATCTGAATTAAAATATACTTACTAAATCAGCTGTTTGTATTTTATATTTGTTGGTTCCATATGCAATATCATTAAGTTCTCTTTCCAATTTCTGAGTAAAAATAAGAAAAAATAGAATAAAACTGTTGTGTAGTTTAAAATTTTATTTTACAGTAACTAAGTTATATTAAATTTTCATATATAATATTTAATAACTTTTAAACAAGAAAATTTAAAATAATAATTACACTATTTACACAATAGATAAAATAAAGCTGAATTTTTTATAAATTAAAATCTACACAGTGTTATGGCACAGGTAACAGCAGAGTGCCAGTTTTTGTATATTGTCTCAGGTTTCATTTCTTCCTTTGTTGGTGGTTCAGTTTTTATGTAAACCTTATATATGCTGCAATATAATAAAACTGTTCTTTTGAGCTTAATAACAAACTTCATGTTGTCATTGTTCACTGAATATGCCAATTTGTTTCTTTTTTCATAATTAAAATATGTCACTGTTTTATCCTGATTACAAATATAAAATAGTTTTTATTTCAAACAATCAAAAATTTTTGAATTGAAATAACATGACTTCCAGTTTGCATTGAAAGTTTTTATATTAATAGGGGCCTCCTGCCCTTGAGGTTTCCATGTCTGGTCTCTTCTTACATCTATCTAACTCAGTTTTAAGATTAAGGAAAGACAGATGGATGACAGTGGAAATTTATAAGTCTATGATTTTTTCAAATTGCAGCCCAGTCACCAGAGAGAAGAGGATAAAATTATTTCCAATTCAAGATCCCAATGATCTTCCAACATCACTGAATGTAAAACTAGAATGTTTCTTTTGGGACCACTCCAAAGAACTCAGGTATTTAACCACTTGTCCATTCATTTATTTATAATTGAAATTATAAATAATAAAACTATTAAAATTTTAGACTTATAATAAAACTAAATTGTTACCTTTAGCCTTGTTTCTCTCATTTCAAGAAGATAATTATATTCTTCTAATTTTGTTTGATATTCTTTTTCCATTTGCTCAGTTTTCTTTTTTATAGTCTCAATTTCTGCTTCATAATCTTTATTTATTTTATACTGTACAACTAACATATTTCGTGTCTTATCCAGCTCTGCGATTGTTTCTGCATGGTCAATTTGTGACTGAAAAAATATCTAATATGTAATATAAATAGCATATTTCACATAAATGATATATTGTATAATATTTTTTAAAGGTACATAAATAAACTTTAAACTTTTATCAGGATTCAGTATGGTACTCTAATTACAACTCTGTGTATCAATTTTTTCATAACCCCACCTAGATGACTTATGTGGCCTGAAATTCTACACCCCATGGGTGACCACATAAGTAAGGATTTTACTATATTTGATATCAAAAATAATTTAATTTTTTACTTGTTGTAATTCTGCTTTTAAATCCTTTTCTTCCTTCTCATTTGACTTATCAGTATTTGCTACATCTAATTTTCTTCTTTGAATAAGGTCTAGAGCTTCCTCAAGTTGTAATATATCAATGTCTGTTTCCTGTTTTAAAAACAAAAATTGTAATTCAATAACAATCCAAACATTTACTTTCAAAACTTTTCATTTAAAAATATTTTAAACAAATTTATTTCTATAAATATATAGAAATGCTTTTGCTATATATAGCAAAAATCAGTTTAAATAATATTTATTTAATTTTTATATTGACACAAAAAAATCATGTTAAAAAATTTGTAAGATTCTTATAATCTTCAATCAATACAAAATGATTATAATATAAATGGTTGACTAACAAACTATAAATATTGTTTTAAAAAATTATTTTAAAGTAACTTTTTGTATAAAAAAAAGACATACTGATAAAATTCTCTTAAACATGATGTATAAAATACATTACAGAATTTCAAGAAATGATTTAACTATAAGATTTAATTAAAAAATTTGAAATATTATTTTTAAATTTAATTAAAGATTTTACAAAATTAATAAATTTTTAAAGTTATTACTTCAAGCAAAAATTTTCAAAATTAACACAGATGTCTGCCTGATATATAATACTAATAATAAATATAGACACATACTACCACATTTATTTAATTTTTGTCTTACTTTGGTTGCTATGCCTTGACTCTGGCCTGTCATAGTACACAGCAACAGATGCCAACTGAGTATAACTCACTAAACCCAACAAATGATTACTGGCTAGTTAAAAATTCATGACATTTACCAAAACAGATCAGATCATATACACAAAAATTACAAAAAATATTATAATAAAGTTTGACAGACAGAATAAAGTATTAAACATCATAATAAATCACACATCTCACTCATCAACAAAATAAAGCACATCATAAGCACACACTACATACCATATGCAATGAAAAACATTAATATACGGATCTCAGCCAAAAAATAAAACATCTAGTAAAAAACATAAGATATACTTATTATGCTCTTTTCCAAAAGATATCTTGCCACACATATTATACAAAAGTCTAAACCTTAATAACACAATTTCTATCATACTACAGGAAGTAGTATGTTGTATCAGGTTGTTACAAAGTGAAATTTAGACATTTCAATTTTTTCTAGAAACAAGTGGAAAAAATATTCTAGAAGGTTCAATGTAGATATATAAGTAGAGTAACCAAAGGTTGTTTCATCATATATTTCTTTGGAAATGTTTGACAACATGAAACTTTTGAAAGAACATTTGCATGCTGTTGTTCTATCACTTCAAAAGTGGTCCCATCACAATGAAGGTGTATGATCTCATTTGTAAAACATTTGTTAAAGCATTCATAGTTGAACAAAGGTCAACCAGCTGTTGCAATGTCATAGAGCCAATAGTGAAATTATATAAATCAAATTACTTAGTTTCATAAATATTTTAAAATCAGAATAGTCATCTAAAACTGGAGTTAATGGTTTCAGATATCTATCTCTACATCTTTATCCCAATAATGATATCAGCATTCGTATTTTCATAAATAAGATGGACTGGGTATTCCTGGGCACAAGGTAAAGCCAGACATAAAATGTAAAAAATAAATGATTGTCACCACTGTCATGTTGTGTCAAGATTCCCATCAGCCATGTAGTATTGATATATGTTATGCTTGTGTTTTTGCCATGTTTTGTGCATCTGAAGAATTGCTGTTTTAGAAAAACTTTTTCATATGAGAAGTGTTTATTATAAGTATCATATGAAATTTTTCAATATGTTTTATGCTATTTATTTGCTATATATCAAAACTTAGATAGATTAATATTTCTCATTCCAAAGTCGATTAGAATCAAACATTTGGTGATTTGGGACAACCATGGACATTTTGTCAGTGCAACTACAAACATTTTCTTGAGGCAATCATAGACAAATTTATAATGTCTGGAACTGGAATTGTCTCAAAGTTCAATTTTTGGTATATTTACTTGATTTTTTTTATAATACCCTATAGTTTTAGTTTTATTTTAGGTTGCCATGGTCAGGATCTACTCCTGACTAAGGCAACGTAAAATGATAGTGATTTAATATTTGATTTGTTCATTTCCCTTTTTTTATAAATTGAAAAATCTATTGTATTTCAATTTTTAATGAATATGCATAAATTATATTTTACTTCTTTACTTCCTTTGTCTGAAAAATTTCAGCCATTTTCTAGCTGTCTGTCATTATCTCAGGTACTGTCTGCTATTTTTCCATATCACAGAAGAATATCAGACACTGCTTAGTTACCTAGTTTTTTATTTTTAGGTAGAAAAACTGGTTAAATATTTTAATGTCATCTAAATATGTAAAATTACTTGTCCTGACTGACTGACTAATTCATCATTGCCCAGAGCAAACTGCTGAACCTAAAAAGGTGAAATTTGGTACACAGTTAGGGTACGTCATGAAAACACACAGTAAGAACGGATTTTTTAAAATTCCCCCTGCAGGGGAGAGGGAAAGGATTAAGGCTTAACCTGAAGAACAGCTTCTACTGTACTATTTTAGATTTGATTTTTTGTTTTCAACTACGTTTAGTCTTCATTGAGTACTTAGGTGTATTAAATTGATAACATTTCAGACATTGTTATAAATATTTTTATATATTTCAATTTTTTAACCAAATGTTCAAACTGTTTTAAATTCAAATTTGTTATTGCATATTGGTTTGATTGTAGAACAATTGTAAATGTTCCAGAAAATTGATCAAATTGAACACTTTGATTCTCAGCAATTCTCATCATTCTCAGTGGTAGGTGTTATATAACAATTACTATGGTTATTGAAATACTGAATATAAATGGGGTTTGCTTGCAAAACCCCATTTATATTTGAAGGCGAAGTCATGGGTAACAGCTAGTATAACATATAGTCTATTTACTTGCATATAAGATGAGGTTTTTATTCATTTATCACAGCTTCAAATTCCTAGGTCATCCTATACATGCAAGCGAAAGATTCTTTGCATTTTTGCAAATAATTTTTGTGAACCACGTATTCACATTTTTTTACCAGACACTTACCCTCTTGTATTTAAAAACATAAATATTTTATCTAGGTCGTTTGAATCGTCCTGTATATTATCAGGAGTAGAGATGAATAGCAATAGGAAGAGCTTTGCTTTTCCTATTGCTACTCATCTCTACTGAAATTGAATTCCAGATTGAAATTCCAAAATCATGCAGGAGCCCGATGTAAGTTTTAATCTATTCCCATGTGAAAACAGATGATTATTCGGAAATCAGAATTCGAAGAAAATCATAAGTATAATCAACGGAGAGTGGATTCAACTGTTAAGAATTGGCAAAAAAAGGTTCCCAATTGTCCAGCTTTACATGAACAAATTATGTTGTCAATTTTACAGGATTTTTCCTTAAAGTTTAAAATGCCAGTAATTTTTGCAGGACAATGTGTGCATTTACGTGCATTTGATATTTTACTTGTGATTAAATGAAATAAAATTAGAATTGTATTAATAAATCTAATTTTTTTAATTTTGATCTTTAAAGTCACACCTTGTCCTGTATGCAAGTAAATATGGTAGTTGACAACAGATTGCAATATCAATTCATATAATAAGATCTAAGTTTTCTCTAACAGGTCTTTTGATACAGAATAACAAAACCTTATGTCCGTGATTTCTCAAACTCCCTTAAATATCAACAAATCATATTACAATATTCTTATTAAAAGCTTACCTTATTAAATAAGTTCATTTTATTTTCTAATTCTTCAAATTTACTTTTGTAATGACTATAATTTTCTTCCAATTCTTTGCATTTGATTTTAAATTGAGAATTTTCTTCTTCATGAAACAATAATAAATGCATATCTTATAATTTAATAAATTAATTACAGCTATATATTTTATAATTACAATAATATATGTTATTACTGCTATACTGAAATAAATGTCATATTTTTCCAGTTAAATATAAATAGCATCTGCTGGTTCCAAAATATTTGAAATTAAAATTTAGTTTAATTGTATAATTAAGTATTAAAATAAAATTCCAAAAATTTTGCAATCATCATCACTGCTATTTTAATCTAATAACCATCTTTGAGATTTTTAATGATTTTATACTGTTATAAAATATCTCTGTTCAAAACATGAAAATATCTTTCACAGCACTTTACTTTTATCAGAGTACATTACTTTAAAATAAATAATCTCTTGTATAGTTTCCTACAAATTCTGAATGTAATTCTATAACCTATCTATATTTTTAGATTCATTTTACCTTTTAAATAAAGAAAAAATATTGAATTTTTATCCATGTATTAATGAACACATCATTTATTATAACATAATAATTTGCAAAAAGAGAATCATCATTGTTTGTTTTTATTAATGCAAATAACAACACAAAAAAATATCCTGTAAAAGACAAATAGATAAATAATGCATTAGACCAGTGTTTTTCAACTTTTTTGAATGCACGACACCTTTACAAGTTAAAAATTCTGGTGACCTCCATGGCTATATTAAAACTATGTCAGTGATTTTAAAAACTTTTTAATTAATTTTCTTTCTGTTGAGATTGAAATATCGATCAAAAAACTAATTGTAATGTAAAATAAACAGGCACAGCCATCTCACTGAAATTGTAGTTTTTTTTATTGTAGTGTAGGATCTACAAACACTTGTCTTTTTCTTTTACCCGTGACCCCCTGTGTATGGCTTTGCAACCCACCTGGGGGTCATGACCCACAGGTTGAAAAACACTGCATTAGACAATTTTATAACATTTAGAAAATACTCAAATTAAAAAATTAATTAAAAAATGAACTATTGCAAATGATAAATGAATAAAAATTGTTTTATTGTTCATAGAATTTTGATAATTTAATTAATAACTGCCAAGTCAAAAAAAATGGAAAAGTGCAAATCAAATCACCCTAATTTTTCAAAAATCCAACTTAGTAGGGTTCTTTTTTTATGCCATCAGATATGAATATAATAATAATTAAAACATTTTTTTAATATAGGAATTATCATAATAAATTTAACTCCTAATATATTAAAATATCAATAATATAAACTGTTATTTGTATGTAAAAAAACTTTTTGAAACCTGTGTTTTGAAAATTTTTAATACAATAATTTAAGTTTATATCCAACCAATACAATAATAATACTTTTCATTAAATAATTTAAAATAACTAAATATTATGTTATTAATTACAAAACAGTAAATTTTTCCTTACAAGTATTGGATAATAACAATTATTATATAACTGTTTTTATATATAAAAAAAAGTTGTATTCTGCAATAACATGAAATAATGAGCAGAAAAACTTATACAGTTATGCCTCATACTTCAAACTTAATTCATTCCAAGAGATTGTTCAAAGTCATAATCAACTTTTCCCATTAAAAATAATGGAAAGTCAATTAATCCATTTCCAGACCATAAACAATACCCATTTCAATAAACTTAAAACAGTAAATACCACATAATTTAAGGTAAAAATAACAATTAAATGCCTTAATAATAAGTTAAAATATGAAAACAATAAATAAATAAATCAAATACTGTATAATAAAATAAAAACTACATTTATTGGTCCACACAATGGACTTCAACATCTTAACATAAATGTGTGATTTCATTATAATAGTTGTGAAATTTAGCATATTATAGATAATGTGAGATTTTATCCTTTGTTTAGAGTCTTACTTCAAACTCTTTACTTCCATTTTGTTTGAATAAAATCAAGTCATAATGTCTTCAGATAGAAAGCATATCAGGTATATTATGTTTTATGACTTTCAAATAAGATATAATGCTATATAAAGAGAAAAAAAAACAAAAAAAGAATTGTAATGTTTATGGGAAAGATGCTTCTAAACTTTGAACATGTCAAATGTGGTTTAAAAACTTCTGCTGGAAAAATTCTAAATTAAAGGATATAAAACATATGGGGTACCCAAAAGCTGTTGACAAAGAAAAATTGCAAAAAGAAATTGTTAAAAATTGATGATCAACATACAATACAGTATATATAACAAAAAAAATAAAGTGAAAAAAGTACTGAAAACACACAAGTGTATTGCAAGAGTAAGAGATAACTAGGACATATAACAAATCGTGTTTATGCTTTCCGCACTTCAAACTTCAAAGCATTGTTTGAATGCCAAGGCAAATAATTTTTGTCAAATTTTTCATTCAAACTCTGATGCATTCAAAGTTAGAGTTGTTCAAAGTATGAGATACCACTGTACATAAAACTTAGTTATAATTAGAATCAAGTTTTATATTAAAAAAAAATAGATCAAACTTTCAATTTAATAAATAATGTATTACAAAATGTAAGAAATAAATGATGTAAAAAATTTTTTAAAAATTTTAAAAATCTTTATAATATATTTTGATAAGTGTAATGTTAAATTTTAAATTAATAAACATGTATACCTTTCATTTCAGCTAAATTTGCCAACAGTGTTTCTTTTTCTTTAAGATCTGCTTTTAAAGTTGCTTCCAATTTGGTAATTTGTTGTTTAAATGTTGATTCTCTTGATTCATAATGTTGATATCTTTCTTCACCAAGAGCACTAAAATAAGATTATTGTATTAAAAATTAGTGATATAATAAAAGAAGTATTTTAACCATATTAAAAAAGTCATTTATTGTTATTATTTACCTGTCAATTAACTTTTGATTTGATTCTTTTAAAATTTTATTTTCATTAGTTAAATCAGTAATTTGTTCTTGAAACTATAATATATAAAATAAAACATATAATTTATCTTAAACAATGATAATTTTATTTAATTCAGCATCCAATATTGATTTTTCCAAATTATAATCAGTATTTTATTATTTTACTAATAAATATAAATGAGATAATTAAGTATATACATTATATATAATTTATGAAAAGTAAAAAGTATTCAGTTTAAACATTTTCTATATAAATTACTAATATTGTAAAATAAACTGTAATTTATACAGTTATACAAATAAGCTTGGATGGATAATACATAGACTTGGATGGATGACTAGACAGATATATACACATACATAAATATATACATAAATGATTAATTATCATTACTTATTAATTTTGAAATTTTCAATATATTTGAACAAATTTTTAAATATACATTTTAATAAGTTTCAAAAAGCATGTAATGATTTAATAAAAGTTATCTACATAAAGATTCTATAATAAAATGAATAATTTATTACTTGTATCATTGTCCTTTCAATTGAAGAAGCTTTCCCTAATTCTTCTTGCAGTTCTAAATTTTTATTCTGTTCTTCTCTCAACAGTTTGTTTAATTTATCTGTCTCTTTTAGTAGAAGATCATTACTCATTTTCAATGATTTTATCTTCTATAATATAACAAAAAATAATTTAATACTGATAGGCTTTTAAAGTTACTTATTTACAAACTGTGTTTATTAAATATTATATTGTTAAATAAACATAACTACAAAATTTACCAATTCATATCAATAATAATGCAATAACATTTATTAACAATTTGAAATTCAAAAAAATATGCTCAAACTATAGTGTAAACAAATTACTGTTCTGTTGTAATAAGTTTCAGTAAAAGTTTTATATACAATATATATATTTAATAACTGTAGATTTAATTTAAATATTTTTGAAAATGATTACAGATTTTAATAAATATTAAAATAAAATATACAGTAATACCTTGACTTACGCGAACCCAGAGTTACGCAATTTTCAAATCTCGTCAATTCGTTTTTTGTTTGAGCGCCACGCAACTCTCAATTACTCACTCCCCCACACTGTTGTTCGGCTTACATGTTTGGACGTGTCGTGCGAAATCAACACATAGCTACAATTTATTTTGTGTTATTTATTTCTGCATTTGTTATATCTACGGAGACTCGAGAGACTCTATGCAGTGATTTCTTGCAACCGTGAACGAATCAAATGACGAAATAAGATTAACGAGAACATTTATTAGCTTACATACATCCGACTTGGATTTTACACAAATTGCGAAATTATACCCCGACTTACGCGAATTTGACTTACGCAGTTATCGCTTGGTCCCACCTATCGCGTAAGTTCGGGGTATTACTGTATATTAAAAATAGATCCAAGAGAAATCTTAAGGAATGGTTTTTAATTTGTGCAATAAAATAAAAGTTTTATCATTTTAATAATTACTTATAATAAACTAGATAAACTTAAAACTGTAACAAAATTAAAATGATAAAAATATTAAAATATAAATGTTTATTTTAAAAAAACAACAAATTTCCAGTTATAGATAAGAAAACTTTACAGAAGCAATTGCCCTTATCACTCACTTCCCATCAGATTCATCCCAAGCATACATTAATCTAATGGAGAAACTTGAGCATAAAAGTTAGAAAGAAAGCGATTGTTTGAAACAAAGCCTTATTCTCTCTAACTTGATCTTAAACACTGTTTTCTAATTCATTTAGCACAAATTAGAAACATATGGTTTCAGAAAAATATATTATGAAAATCTTTATGAAAAAGAATAAACACATATCTATATTTTAATTTATTGTAATTAACCATATAAAACATTTTCTCTTTAGGAATTTTTTAACATTATCTTTAAACAGGTTAATTTTAAATATATAAAGTACTATAATCCATGATAAACTTTTATACTTATGGAAAAATTTTATTTAATTTATAAAATGTGCATTCAACATTAAATAATTTCATAATTTCATTTTTATTATCATTTACTACTACTAAATAATTTTTAATAAAAATTTCCCATTATTATGCAAAATTTGTCTATTTATAATTAATAAATGTATTACTTTAATGATGATGACTATATTAGTCTTTAAATTATAAAAGCTGGAAAGGACTTTTGCTTGACTTTCCCAATACTCAAACAGGAAGACCAAGAAAAAGTCCAATAATTTTCATTTATTTCACTGCTCTGCCCTTTAGATTTACTTTTTTTTTTTTTTTTCTAAAATTACATTTTGTCTTTTATTCTGTGAATTCAAATAGTAAATTAAATATTAATGTGTGCACATAGCCTGCCGTAGATGCTGCTAGAGGTGCAGCATCTGTGTCAGTATTGTAGATATGCATGTGTACATATTGTACTTAACTTTGTATGTAGTGTAGAAGCTGCGGTAAGAATGTAGTGTAGAACTTTTAAATATTTCATAGATACCCATGTATCTTTTAAACCATTTTAACAATCATTTGAAAAAACACAATTAAAAAATCAAAACATTAGAAGCATGCATTTATACCAAATGCAACTTTGACGTGAGTTGTATACAGTTTTATGAAATACAAACCTCATTTATTAAAAAAGTTCATTCTTGTGAAAAGTATCAAAATTAAAAAACTTCTTAAGTAAATATTATAATTGTTTAAAATGCTATGTATATGCTTATATGTTATAAGAAATGTTATAAAGCATACAGTTTTAGTGAAACAAATAAACACATGCTTTTATTTTTTTTATTATGAAATAATTTCTGAATTTCTCCTTTATTTTCTCCAAAAAATGTGGTCACCATAGTTACACTGTGATATAAAATTTAATTAAACAACAAAAATTTTAAAGCAGTAATTTTCTGAATTATGAGAAATTCCTCTATTTAAAAAACACACAAGTTTGTAAATTTTTGTTTTACATTTTTGGAATCCTTAAGTGTTAAAATATAAAAAAATGCAAAATTAATTTTAATTAAGCTAATTAAATGATAATTAAGTCAGAATTATCACTGCATTATAAATAAAGCATTTAGTAATTATCAATCTTATGAACAGATAGTAATTTTTGTATTCATACTATAAATCTTTAATTATTAAATTATTTAATTTGATAAGCCATAATCTAGAGATTTTTGATTCTATTTAGTAAGTAATGATGTAAAATAATCTCAAAACACAAAGAGAAAAATTATGTATTGCAAGTTTATAACAACATTGTTAAATCAGTTAAATTGAAACTGACATCTCTGTATTGGAAAATTTATTTGTAATTAATGCAATTTAAATACACTATGCATGCAATGAATAAATAATAGAAAACTGATAAATTTCTAGTTTTTATGTCATACCTAAATTCAACTGCTAAGAAAAAAGTATATGAAATTTATGAGAGTTATAATTTAGTTTTTTATGTAGCATTGGCATAAAACATTATAATTTAAAATTGATTTGAAATTCTGTCTAATTATTGTAAGAATGTTAAATGATTCAATTTTCAAATTTTTTACATATAAGGTCCGAACAAAAAGTATCTGACCTGAGGTCAGAAAAAAAAATCCTGTGTATCTATTTGGTTCAAACACTAGTCCCCTTCAAAATAGGCCCCTTCTGAGTTTACATGCTTCTACTGTTGGAAGCATTTTTTCAAAGTCATTTATTGGGATCTTTGTCGCATTAGTCTTGGACTCCTCTGTTCTAAACTCTCTTTCTGTTGAATGGCTTCTTGAGTTTAAGAAAGAGCCAAAAGTCAGCCAAAGACATGTCTGGGGAGTACAGAGGCTGTTGAACCCGTGTAATACTGCGTTTTGCAAGGTGTGTCTGGATGAGATATTATCAATAGGCAGAGCATTGTCATGATGGATGAACCAGTTACCAGACTGTCAGAGCTGAAGTCTCTTGCACCTAACACCATCTCATAAGTGACATAAAACAGTCAGGCTTTGTCACAGTTTGTCTATGAGAAGTGTACTCATGATGAACTACACCTTGGTGATTGAAAAGAAATGGTCAAAATGACCTTCACATTGCTGCATAATTGCTGTGCTTTTTTGGCCATAAAGGAAATGACATTTTCCACTGGAAAGATTGTGCCTTTGTTTCAAGATTATACATGTAGATCCAGGTCTCATCTTTAATTATAATCTTCATGAAATCAGGACCATCACATTCCACCATTTTCACTTAATCACTAATGCGATAATAACAGTGTAAATATGCAACTATCATGACTGCAACTATCAGTGACTCCAGGTAGGACCCAGACTTGCTAAAATTCACACATATGCAGTAGATAGGGTCAAGGTCACATGACAACATTCCAGCTTGCAAATACTTGAAAAGAAAAAAAATAAGATCAGATACTTTTTGATTAGACCTTGTATTTATACTATAATTGCCAAAGGTTTCATCTTTTATTACAATTTATCATTAATTCAATATTATAAAAAAATTTCAGTTTATATAACTGGGTAACTGGCTTTATAACATTTATAACTGGCTTTCCAAATTTATTGTTGGAAGTTAATAGTTTTCAACATTTAAGTACAATGCAGTTCTATTCCTTATATATTAAATCAAAATTAAAAATTAACAAATTATATTATTTTGAATGAAATGACTCTTAAATAAATCTATTTTATAAGTTAAAAGTGTAAAATTTTAATGACTATAAAATATCTTGTCTGTTCTGATATTTAAATCTATTCATTTGTTTTGACGATGCCCATACAAATAAAGAGGTAATGGGATTAATACATGCTGAAAATATATAAGCTAAAAATGAAAGAAACAATCAGATTTCATAAAAAAGCATTAATTCATACCTCATCTAAATCATTATACTGTGCTTGTAAATTTGCCATTTTACTAGATTTTCGTTTAACTTCACGATGCAGCTGAATTAAATCCATATTCTCTTGAACATGTTGTCTATATTCATTTAAAATTTTAAGAATTGATTTTGTAGATATTGATATTACATAAATGTCATATAGTAAATCTTACTTTTGACCTTGTGTGAGTTGAGATTTTAAGTTTAACAATTCTTCATTATATTCAAATTCTTTCAATTTAAGCTAAAACAGTTAAAAAGATAAGACATTTTCTCTTTTTCTCTCATTTAGAAATATATAATAAATTAAAAATATATATATTAATTATAAAATATAAAATAAAATATATTATATAATTTGTTTAATAAAATAATATCTTAAAAAGTAATAAATTAAATATTAGTATATTTAAATTTAAATACCTGTTCTTTTAAAATTTCATTTTCCTGCTCAACAATATCTAACTGTGATCTGAGAGAATTTACTGTTTCCTCTCTAGAAAATTTTGCAAAATATAAATATAAGTTTATATGATATTGATATGTACTACATATATATATATATATATGATCTCAAAACACAATACATAACATAAAATAAAAATAAACATAGTATATTCAGATGAGATTATATTATATTAACAAAAAATGAAATTATATTACAGTTTCCTTTTAATATAAAAGTAAATTTACACTGAATAATTAAAACTGAAAAATAAATAAAATACAAATCATAAGAACAAAAGAATTCAACAAATATAATTAAAAATAAGCTATTGATTTTTGCAATAATAATTGATTGAGAGCAATAAAAGTAATAGATATGCTCCTGTAATCAAAAAGTATTAGTAATAGTTCAGTAAAAAGTAGGATTTGAATATATTTTCCTCTTCAAAGTAATCCCTCCTTACTGCAATGCACTTATGCCAACATTTTTCCAATCCTCAAAACTTGCTAAAGTAGTTTTCATGAAACCCATTCAGGACTAACAGTAAATTTTGTTTTATGGCATCAATGGACTCAAAATGGTGACAACCAAGAAAAAATTTAAGTCAAGGAACCAGAAAAAAGTCACGCAGTGCCATATCAGGTAAATACAAAGCTTACAGAATCATATTTGTTGAATTTTTGAACAACAAGAGAATTGTGAGCAGGTGCATTAACGTGGTACTAAATCCACGAGTTTTCTAGTCACAAATCAAGTCATTTTCTATGAATTTCTTCACACAATGCAAAATGCTCAAATAATATTTTTTGTGACAGTTTGGCTAGTCAGATGGAATTCATGATACACAACACCACGACAGTTAAAGAAAACAATCAACACAATCTTGATTTTTGACTGACTTTGACATGGTCTTTTCAGTTTTGCGAGTGCCATTCACTTGATTGTTGAGCTGTTTCAGTATCAAAAGCATAGATCCATGTTTTATCACCTGTAATAATGATGTGTTTTAAACAAGTGGTCCGTGATACGGTTCTATTCGACGATATAATGCGGATAAGATTACTGCCACAATAAGACCCGGAATGCAAGAGTGCAACAACCGAGACTTGCCCGGAAAGAAGAGTGCAACAACCGAGACTTGCCCAAAATCCATTAAATGGCAAAAGTATTTCACTGCATGTAGCAATGATACTTGTGTTAAAAGCCTGGCTGATGGGACCACATTCACCTATGTTATTCTCAACCTGTTGCTGCACATAGAATGCGTACTGATCCATTAATCCTGTAAATTCTGTTATAAATTCTTCAGCCAATCTTTTAATTTCTTCTTTTCCTTTAGTCTGTATAAATTCTTGTGCAGTTTGAGCTTGTTGGAGAAGATCTGGGAGTGCTTCCTGGATGGTCCTGTTACCTACTCTTGTATCTTTCTGAAGTTGTTCTCCTAGTTTTTGAAGTTGATCCAGTGTATCATGAATTGAAGCAATCAGGGTTCTCTGATACAGTTCTAATTGTTTTGTTATGTTTTTTAAGCATCAACCTCTGACTTGAGTGACATGTTGTTCATCAGTTGAAGTGGATGGTCTACCAGAGCATGCTTCATCTTCATGCATTCTCCGCTTACTTTAAACATCTGGTACACTCAAAAACTCATTTTGATAGACTATCATCACAAAAAGTTTTTTGTAACATTTGCAATGCTTTTGTAGCAATGATTCTGTTGTGAAAACAAAATTTAATATATGTTCTTTGCTCAATTACAGTAGCAGCACAAAAATTCTTCAAACACAAAACAAGAATTTATTTGCAAACAAAAACAGATGATGACATACAGATTGCTGATAGATGTCAATGAAAGTTATAATAAACAAAAAAAAATAACTACAGCACCCTCTTGCACATACACAGTTTACATGAACTATTCTCGACATTTTTTATCACAGTAATATATCTATTTCTATTTATTTTTTTATTTCATTCACTAAATCTGTTTATGTATATCAGAGCATCAATTATCTATTTTGATTAATTATTTCTTAGAACAAGAAAATGTGATAATGGCTTTCAATGTTAAAAAATCTTTTAACCGTTTTCAATCCTATGTAATGTATTAATCTGCACTATTTTAAGAAAATAATAAAATGAATTGATAAAAATAACAAATTATAAAAACACTAGCTGTTACCCGGAACTTCACCCGTGGAGGTTTTGTAAGCAAACCCCATTTATATTCAGTATTTCAACAACCATAGTAATTGTTATATAACACCTACCGCCGAGAATGATGAGAATTGCTGAGAATCAAACAAACAATTTTCAATTTGATCAATTTTCTGGAACGTTTACAATCGTTCTATAATCGAACCGATACGCAATAACAAATTCGAATTTAAAAAGGTTTGAACATTTGGTTAAAAAATCGAAATATATAAAAATACTTATAACAATGTCTGAAATGTTATTAATTTAATATACTTAAGTACTTAATGAAGACTAAGCGTAACAAAAAATTGCATGTAAAATAGTACAGTAGAAGTCGTTCTTCCGGTTAAGCCTTAATGCTCTCCCTCTCCCCCCACTGGGGAATTTCGAAAAATCCCTTCTTAGTGTGCATTTCCATGGTATACCCTACTAAAATGCAGATAAAAACAAAAATTCGCATCTAAAATAGTACAGTAGAAGCTGTTTTTCCGGTTAAGACTTAATCCTTTCCCTCTCCCCCGTGGGGAAATTCCAAAAAAATCCCTTCTTAGTGAGCGTTTTCATGACGTACCCTAACTGTGTACCAAATTTCACCTCTTTAGGTTCAGCGGTTTGCTCTGGGCAATGATGAATCAGTGCGTGAATGAGTCAGTCAGGACAAGCAATTTTATATATATAGATTAACTTACAAATGTTTTATTTCATTTCGTGCTTCTTCAACTAGGCTCCAAGCATAATTAGGAAGTGCTGATGATGGAGAAACTCTGCAAAAAGTAAATTAGCCCTATTAAAACTCAATACAGATATTAAATTATTTAAACTATGTCAATGCATAAAACATTTACTATTTAATATGCATTAAAATGCTAATTGAAGTTAAAATGTTAGAAGTCATAATAATAATAGTAATTACCTTGATGAAGGATGAAAATAACTCAATCTAGTTGCAGGAGATCCTGTTCTAGATGGAGTACCAGGTTTAGATCGTCCCTATAATTTTATTTATCTAAACATTATTTCAATCTTCTTAGTTTTTTAAATAGCAATAAAAAGTTGTCACTTACAGAATCTACTCTAGGTGTAACATAACGATATCCAGAAGGTCTTTTGGCATGAATTAAAGCTTGTTGTTTAGCAATTAACAACTAAGAGAAAGTAAATTTTTAAAATGCTTAGAGAATTTTGTGCATNATATTAATTGTGAAAATCACTTTTTCACGCAGTTGACAATTTTGCTTTTCTACTTCTCTTACTTTATCTTGCAAATCTTGAACTAATTCCTCCATTTCAACATCTCTTTTTCTATCTAAAATTAAATGTATTTTAAAAATTTCTTTTATACACCTTTAAATAATAAATACTTTATTCATTTTTGTACATTCATATTTGTCAAAATAAATATTTACATTAATCTTTCTTTCAATAAAATATAAACTAATTGAAAAATACAATCACTAAATGATAATATTCTTGAATAACCTTTGTATAAAATTATATATTGATATTTTAATGTAAATATATTCTTTTCATTTTTTATGATCATTATACCATTTATAAAAATCTATTTAATAAAAAATAATGAATGCAAAATAATTATAAATTACTTTTCAAAAATTAATACCTTTACATAGCATTTTCTTCAATATTTATAAATTGATATATTAAATTAAGTTACAAAAAATATATATATATATATATATTCATTAGTAAAAAATTAATGTATTTCACTTATATATTTTCCATTATTATTACATTTTAATAAGATATCTCACTAATACATAAAAATAATTTTCAAAATAAATTTGGCAATTCTTACTTCCTGTGCCACCTTCTTGTTCCAAACGTTTTTTATCATTTATCAGACGACTTAATTTAGTGGCAAGTCTAGAAGAATTTTTTTTAAACACTTTAAATATGAATTAAAAAAATAAATTTACATGTACATATTTTTAATTTATGCAAAAAAATCATTTTCTTACTTTTTAATCTTGTCTTCTTGTTTTCTTGCATACTTCTTCAGCAATATATGCTCATCATGTAGTCTTAAATACTTGTCTTCCAAATCATCATGATCAATGTGAGATATAGCATGTCTCTCAATTCGAAAGGTTCGATCTTTATTGAAAGTATAATTTTTGAATAAATCTCAATGGTGACATATTTAGTTTAACGGATAAATTATTGTTCACAAAAATATCACAGATAAATCAATATTTATAGATTTCTTCTAATTGTAATCCATAATAAAAAGACTTAATTTTAAACATATTTAAAACATTTTACCAAGTTCTGATGGAAACTGTTTAACTGTATCATCTTTTTTCTCCTTCACTGGTATAAGATCTCTTCCTGAATCACTGGCATCCATTAGTTAATGTTTAAACATATCTTCTAAATAAGATAAAAAAGAAAAATTATTTGTGGAACAAATTATTTGCATTAAATTAATTTACTATTCATGTCAATTTTAAAAAAAGTCAAGATTCCAGATTTTATCATAGTTACTTTATTCATGCAATTATCTTTTATAATGTATTTAAATTTGAAACTTTTTACTCAAAGTTATATTTGATATCATAGAGAAAAATATATCAAATATTTATGATTCTTTAAACATTTTTAATGCCAATATGAATATAATACTAGAAGCTCACTTTTTAAATTTCAATAATAGTTAGTACAGTGACTTATTCCAGAGTTCATTTTTTATAAATTTTAAAGTGATAACTCAGAAGCAATCATTTGAAAATTAAAATAATAATGTTTTCTACAAATCAAATTGTTAGTTGTCTACAGTGTCAGTTTTGAAATATTTAAATATATAAACATTTTTTCTATGATATTCAAATAGCTTTTAAAACCATGATGAAAATTATTTATGATTTTCTACTAATCGGGAATGAGAAACTAATCTTGGATTGAACCATAAATGATTCAAGCAGTTTCATTATTTTTTCGTGATATAATGATTTCAGGTATATGGAAAAAAGTTCTATCATCATCTTATGTAAATATACTTTGATGCTATAAAAAATAGATTAAGCTCCTGGAAAAATTAATGACTCAATCTAGTGCATTAATTGTCAAACACTTATCAATATAATATGTTTGTTAAACATCCTATAATATGAAAACAACATTCATATATTAAAAAACTCTAGCAACAAGTTGCTTAACTTTCCCAGAAACATTTCGTGATGTCATCTGTTACAATATTTTATTTAAAAACTTTTTATATTTTTAACCACTATAAAATGGCAAAAAGCTTAATTTTGAGGGTAGGGGTGGGTTTCACAAAAAGTTGTAAATGCTAATAACAAGTAAAATCGTCATTAAGTCAGATCCTATTGGAGATACAGACAACCCCCTCTATCTCTTCATCCCCTCGGACTTTACTCACCAAAATTTAATAGTATCAATTCCCTAATAAACAAACTTCCCTGCAACATTTCAGAAATTTTCGACAAAAAGCACAGGATTTATTAAGCTTCAAAGAGGGTAAAGAAAATTGTGGCCCCCCACATACACAGTAACATTCATACATACAGAAAAAAAACCCAAATTTTTTTGCATTTCTTGATATTTCAAGGTGTCCTAAGCCCAAAAATGTAAAAATCTTGGAGGTCATTTTTTTTTACCAATGCTGTGCTATATATATAGGAAAGTAAAAAGAGAGTTGAAAACAATCATTACTCTGCTAATTTTCTACTTTCATCATTACAATTGAAGAACTGAAACTTTTAAAAATTTAGTTATGATATGTGAGGAATCTATTTGCTTTTTTTTAAATACTGTATTTTTAAAAAATTAAACATGTCTTCATATCAGTTAAAAACCAAAGGTTTGTTTTTAATTTTGATGAAATATTTTTGCTGACTTTCAAAAATTTCCATTGAAGAGAGAAGAAAACAGAAAATATATAAAGTACAAGTTTTACTTTTTTGATACAAATTTTTAAGAATAATCAGAAATATTCAGTTCAAAGCTTTAAAATATACTATCAAGAGAGTAAATAAAAAGTAAGTATATTAATATTTGTATCTAGTACATAAAAGTATATTAATACTGTATTTGTAAAAAAGTTTTCTTAATAATATCAATATAAATTTATATTATTTATAATTTATAAATAATATCAAAAAGTTTTATTCATTATAATATACGGTATAAGCTACAGTAAAGAATTTCATAAGAATAAAAGTATTCCCATCAATATTACAAATAATTTAAAAAATAATAATTTGACTAACACACAGATGCTTAGTAAACACACTCCAACAACCTTAAAACACAGCAAAAATTTAATAACTAACATTTTTGATCATTTTAATGCATCAAATAATAATTTGATGAAAAATAATAAAAGTATCTATTATAACACATACACTTTTACAACAAATTAATGTCAATTCTTCTTTCTCTTTTACATGAAACAACACAGAAATGAAATGTAGAAATAATAATTATCCCAATCAAGTTTTTAGTATTTGTATGCTATTAAAATGTAAAACTTAAAATTTGAAATATCTAAATATAAATTTAATATATAAAAATAAATTTGCAAAAGTTCCTTACTTTTCATCTGTTTCTAAATAATAATTATGATATAAATTAGCATAATCAGATCTATTGATAAATATTCATACCGAAACATTCAGTCTAATTTCTATTTAACAACACTAAATAAAAAATGTTTATACATTAGAATATACTACTTAGAATTCCTTTAGATACTAAACTGAACAAAGTCCAGTATAATAAATTATATATGTGATTATTATAATTTATTTTGTGTTATGAGATACTTTTATACTATTAAAGATTAGAAAAATGTTATCACTATAATCTTATAATTATCATTTCTACATTTCATTTCTGTGTGGTTTCATGTAAAAGAAAAAGAAGAATTGACATTAATTTATTGTAAAAGTGTATGTGTTATGATAGATACTTTTATTGTTTTTTATAAAATTCAAAACAAAAAATGTTTTAGATCTTAATAGAAAAAATATATTATATTAAATAACTAAATAATATATATTATTACTTGTTTAATGTTTTATATTAAAATTTTTATCATCAAATATATAACATTATACAACATATAATGTATAATGTTAAATAATAATAATAGTAATGATGTTGAAGTGTAAATATTTAACAATTATTTTAAAATGTATATATGTATATGATACATAAAATAAATTTTATACATTCTCAGTAAAAACTAAATATGTTTGAATATTCAAAATACAAATTTGAAATTTTTTTAATGAAATTTTCAATCTCTAAATACATCATAATTATTATAATTTTCTAATAAACCTCAAGTAAAAATATTACACAAGTAGAAATATTTATGTTTTACTTGTATTCTGGCCAAATTCTGCATTAATAATTTAAATATAGTAATTCATTGTAATAGTTTTTTAATATTGCTTTCAAGAAAAAAATAAATGTAAAAATAAAAAATAGTACTTCTACTAATTTCAACAGATTTTATAAATGATATATAATGTTTAAATTGTTCAAATTCAATTCAATAATGTTTAAATTGTTTAAATAATCAGCACTAGTTATACAAAATTTTTATGAAAATTATTAAATTCAAATACTGTATATAGAACTTTTTTGAAGTCATATTTTCTTTCGTCAACATAAGTATTTTACGACATAAAATTACAATTTAATTTATAATTAAATTATTGACTTATTTCGAAACAGTGTCTTCTTTTAATTCTTTCTTTACTTCACAACTGGGTGCATAAGTAGACACTGGACATCTTTAACATCACTCTTTATTGAGGGATTTTAGTTGGGAAATTTTAATTATAAATATATGTATTTTTAAAAAATATGTATTTGTTATCACCTCTTTACCAAACATCTTAAAGAAAAAGCTGCCGGAAGAGGTGTGTATGCCCAAAACGCGTATCGGTGTGCAAGATATTCTCAAATAAAGAGCGACATTAAAGATGCCCAGTGTCTACCTATGCACCCAGTTGCAAAGTAAAGAAAGAATTAAATTATTATTCATAAGCAAGAAATATTTTACTGATTTTGTCTTATTTCCTTTATGGTTATTTAAAAGTAGCCTATACTAACTCTGAGGATTGAAACAGAGAGCTTAGGACATTAGGAAATTTGAAAAAACTGTGTGTTATTATCTTAAGTATAAATAAAACAAATTCTTATTATTTATAATAAGTTCTCTAATCAAAAAGTAAAGAAAAATTTTAAAATATTAGTATTAAGCAATACAAAATGTGCATTTATATATTAATTGAATTAGTATTAAATCTATTATATAATTTGTGCAAGATGATTCTTTAAATGTGATTTATATTAACAGTAACTAAAGTGTAATCTAAGTGCTTATCAAAATCTTAAATGCCAACTGATTAAAGTGCATAAATAATGATAAAATGATGAAACTTTTCAGTTTAAGTAGCCAACAATATCCTACATCTTCGAAAAGTCAGCTGCCATTCTTTTTCCTTTAATCGAAATCTTATGACATATTTTCCAATTCAAAATTCGATCAATGCATCGATTTCACTGAACAATACTGTTGCGCAAGCGCCGTTTATCACGTGGAGTAAGACGAAAGTAATCAAATGCTCAATTTCACTTTACTAATAATGACTATAAAATTAGTTAAATTGTGAAATATAAATTGTTTCATATTAAGCTATTTTTATTATATTTTTAACACTAAAATACAAAAAAAAAACATTAACAAGTATAATGTTATTTAAAACTTTTAAGCAATAAATTTTAATGTGGCGAAAGCTAGCAATAAAGTATTGTTGCCAGATTGGGAATTTAAAAAAAAATTGTAAACATTTTGGGAGAAAAATATTTGTTGGAAAATATTGAGAAACTTTTGTGAGAAGAAAAAACACTATTAAAAATTTGAAATTATTAAACTTTTTACGTTAATTTTTCCTGTTTTATTTTCTTGTTATAAACGTAAATAACAAACGTAATGACCTAATTAAACATGAACGTTTTAAATTTACCATTTAAAAATTAATGTATATTTATTTTATTGATGATTGTTGTTTAAAATAATCAATTCGAAATCTAAAAGCTAAAATCGATCGAAAATCAATACAGGAACGCCATCGTTAGAGATGTGTCACGTGCCCGTGTGCGTGTCCTATATTTTATTCCCCTTACGAATCAGTGTGAATCCCTGATTTTTATTCATCACCAAAACTCTTATGAATTGAGTTCCGATAGTATGAAAGTCCAGTTGCTTTGTTACATACTAGTCCGTACAAGTATATTCCTCACCGGACCAGAAACTTACCACCTTCACATATGCTTGATCGTGTAATGCTATAAATCTAAATAAATGCTATATAATAAAAATGCGTATAATTTATGGTGGCAGCCATCTTAACTTGTCTTCAGCGATTGTGAACCTCGCTGCTTAGCGCTACAGATGCTAACTTAACTTAAAGCGAAATAGCTTAACTGTCTTTTAACAAAAAGGCTTGTTTTAGTTAACGCCACCATTGTTCATTGTTCGTACACATTTCTAGAATGATCTGTGGCACTCATTATATAAGAGAAGCAGTGAATAAGAGCCACTTGTTAAAAACGCTTCTTCGTGTGTAAGAACGTACAGTCTACGTAGATAAGATTCTACGAGGAGATCGCCAACGAAAACTTCATTGTCGCCATCATCCACCATTTTAAGACAAGAGGTATTAATTCACTTCGTTCCGGAGTCGTAGCTACTGTGCAGCAGTTGGAGCATAGTGCTCCAGGTGCACGAATCAATGATGATGAATCGAATCTAGGAAACTTTTCACGATTAACTTTACTTTATTTGATGAATCCTTACAGAATAATTTATTATATCTTGTGAGCTCAATATGAAGAAATACTCACTTTTTTTATTTAAATTTAGCACAAATATTTTGAAATGTATAGGGTATTCGCACTAGTAAATGACCAATTAAGCACCTTGATAAAGAGATTTGAATATAATCAATTAACAAACAGACGTTTAAAATAAATAATGATCGTTGCCGGTTACCAAGAACTCGCATTACTCATTCAAAGGTTGAATTTTTAATTTTCTGTAGTATTTATTAAATTAATGACAATGTTTTTATAATTTAAAAATTACCAATGAATGATCATATGGCCCTAGTAATTGACAAACTGAGGGCTACTGAATGACCGCAAGTGACTAATAATCAGTAACTAAAGTTTTAGGATACTATATGCAATTTTATACCATTGTATACTACATATGTGTTGAAATTTTATGTAATTCAATCATATAATTTTTTCAGATTAAGAAATTTGAATAAAAATATTAAATTTTAGAAAAGGTTTATAATTCAAAAATATTATATATATACAAGATTATAAAAATTATCAGTTTGATAATCCATACAAAAGTGTTTCATAGGCTATATTGCAATAATAATTTTTTAAATTTATCTGATTGTTATGCAATGGTTTCCTTGAAATCTGGTAACAAATTAAATGGAATCTCATTTTCTATTATTTTGCAATGCACATTTATATACTTCTCCCTAATTAGTTAATAAATCTGGTTCATTTTCGGAAAACAATTCCTTACGCCTAGCAGAAATACATTTTGAATAATCCATTATATCTGAATCAAAAAGAAACAAACCACATCGCACCCCGGCAAGAAAAGTGACAAAACTCAAACACCTTACCTATATTTAACTGATAACATTTCACATTCGACGACATATAGATCCATAATTACTATACTATAGAATATAATAGAATTTACCGTCAAAAATACCTGAAATTAAAAGCAGCTTATACTATGAGTTTTATAGTATTCTTTAAATAGGTTTTTCTCAAATACTGCATTATTCTGTTTTGTCACTTTTCTTGTCGAGGTGCGACATGTTTCAAACCCATGTTGAATTTGTTTCGGATTTCAAAGCTTTCTTGTAAGCTTCAATGAATAAAGCTGCAACATTAGTTTTAGAAACTGATTTTGATGATTGTTGCTTGTGTTTTCTGACAACATTTCTCCAGTGACAATTAAGCGGTCGAAAAATTGCAACATTAATCAATCTAACGCACAAAAAATCATTATCAAAAGTATTTTTCAAGAAACCAATAAAATCTTTATAGAATGAAACGTTTAAAATTAATTTCTGTTTTGAATCGTTTCGAATATAATAAACTACTCCATTCAACACACGTGACAGACTGAGGATAAATAATTAATATTAATTTTGTTAATTTAAAGAGATTTTAACACAATGAGTTTAACATCAAAAATATTCCATAATAATTTATATACAATTTATTCTATAAATCAAATAATTCTTTGTAATCTCTTTCTAACCTCACATTTATCCAATACTTCTGCTTCTTCACTTAATGCCGATGATGATTGAAACATGACGTGCGTTGTAAAACTGACGTCATCTTCGGATGATTCTAGGTTCGTGGCCAATTTATTTTCTTCGTAGATTATATCGTTGACCAAAGAATATCAGTCTGAATATATAAATGCTTTCTTCAATGGTTTTTTTTTTTTTTGTGTTTTTCAAAAGAAGTAATTTGATCTTGAGACAGACAAAAATTACACTCCTCTTCGTAATCGGAATCCTGCAAAAGTGAAAAATATATATTAACAAATCTTAACTTTAACTTCAATCCATATTCAATAGTTTTTGTTATAAACAAATATAATACAGTTTTAACGAAAGCAGAGAATCGAGGACGTAATTCTAATTTCTGTTATAATAATGTTACATTACTCGAATTATTTTTTTTATTAACTCAGAAAAAATTTATTTAATAAATAATCAATTTGCACCATTTTAAATAACACTTTTTAGACGAATCTGCATTGCTGTGTTGTGTTTTTCAGTTTAAAACTTTTAAAAGATAATAAATATTAAATTAATTTCAATTATTTCGATTGAATTACGGTTTAAAAGAGAAAACAATGCTGTTTCATCCGGATTACGAGCAATTTCCTCGCATATAAGGTCTTCAATTCTATTTGTTTCTGTTTCAGGTTCTTTTCATAAATAAAAGTGTACAAATAATAGAAAAAAGTAGAAAGTGAAAATTGAATAGATCTTGTAACTGGAAATGATGCAAGTTCAAGACGTCTGTAAGGCCACCAGTTCCAATTCTTTACTTTTAATGTTTTAATTGGATATTTTTGTGTGTTTTTAAGGAATTTTTTAGCCTGATGACCTAGTAGCCTACAAAGAAAGGTCCGGTCGTCGATGGTGTTCTGGAACACATGATCAGAATAAATAGTGGTATCTAAAAATAAATTTTTTGACAGACTGTGTCTTTTGTAATTAAAAAAAAATTACTTCACATACGTAATGCTTAGCACGCGCTGCGATTATCTTTCCGTAAGCACGTTTTTCATTGTTGCGTAAAAAATAAATGTTGAGAATAAATTTTCCGTAATTGTCGGAGCGATATTTTTAGATAGAAGTTATTTCGAAAGCGAAAACATGGATTTTTTAAGTAAGTTAATATAATTATACAATAAAAATACAGTTTAACTCTTTTTTAACGTATTCGCAATAAAAACAAAAACATAAAATTAATAGTAATTTTCTAGCAGATGTTTCAAAATTTTTATAACAATGTTATAACGTTGATAGCGAATACATTCTCTACGTTGAATTCCATAAAAATCTAATATAAATTAATCACATTAATAAACAAATGTAATTGTGATTGTTTTCGAGTTGAAGTAACGCTTTTTTTTCTGTTTTACGTTCAAAAATTTCTTGGAATATTTCTGAATCTTTACAATTTGGTAATTACATTGAAAATATTTTCAATTAAATTAGTCATCAGAAAATCGTGCATTTAGCACGAATTTCAAACAGAGAGAAGAGGAGCAGTAAAAGCTATCAGTTAACAAGCACCAAGCACACTTTCATAGTTAACTTTAATTCATTAAATACTTTCTAAACAGAAACTGTCGCTTATTGTAAATAGAAAATTCATAACATCAATTATTAAAAACATGAAAATTACAATCAGCTATTTCTTAGTGTCATTAACGATATTTAACTTTGCAGTCATTTTCTGCTGGAGACAATTCGAACGTTAAACGTATTTTCTGCAAATGAATAACAATTTATTATTTCATTTTTTCATCTTTTCTAACATTTAAATATTCTATTTCATTCAGATGTAAAAAAAAAGTAAACATTAGAAATTATAATAACATTTTTATAATGTTAATTTCTTTCACGTTATTTTTTATTTCATTAAGTATGAATTAAAACTAATCATTTAATTATATTTAAAATTAAACAGAAGTGAAATATGAGGAAAGTGAAGAAAACGATAACCCGGAGGAAACAGAATTGTCCTCTTCTGTAAGTTACAATTCAATCGAAATAATTAAAAATAATCTGATAACTCTTATAATTTAAAAGTATAAAATTTAAAAACCATGACAACAATGCAAATCTAATAAAATACAAGTACTGTAAAATTATTCGATCAGAAATCTGAATTTTTCACTTTTTCACAGGATTCTGATGATGATATAGAGGGGTTCCACTTTTGTTTGCGTAATGATCAAATTACCCCTTTCAAACGAAAAAGACGTCCATTAAAACGGGCATTTGTGTATATGAAAAATTATTCATTGGCGAAAGAAACTATCACAGAAGAAGAAGAATTAAGCAGTGAATCCTCCGATGACGACGCGAGTTTAACTAACACCAATACTGACCTCACGTCAAAATCATCATCGGAATTAAATAAAGAATTAAAAGTACTGGATCAAGGTGAGGTCACAAAGAGATTACAATGAATTATCCGATTCATAGATTAATTTGTTTAACGATTATTAAGAAATGATTTTATGTTAAACTCATTGTGTTAAAATCTCTTTAAATTAAGAAACTTAATATTAATTATCCATCCGCAGTCTTTCACATTATATTCAAAACAATTCAAAAATAGAAAATTAATTTCCAAATGTTTATTTCTACAAAGATTTCATTTATTTTGTAAAAATACTTTTAATAATTATTTTTGTTACTGTTTAAGCAATAAGTTTAACGGACATTAAATAAAAATTCACCGAAAACATTATTCAGGTGGAGTAAACGAACGAATAAAATGATGGCAAGACACACAATGTTCTTATTTATGACATAATTCATTGTTTTGCAGTGTGCTTATTTCTGATATCAAATTTAATTGACAATTAATTTATCAGCTGTCAAAGTATATGTCGAGAAATTTAATATAATTGTCTGGATTTTACTTTTCCGGCTGTTATAATATTTTAATCTTTTAGTGTTTTTGAAATCGTTGTGTTTTAAGACCTGTGCACACAAAAAAGTCAAAAAATTAATTCCCGAAATATCTGTGTGTGTCTATTTCGTTTCATATCTCAGAATAAATAAACATTACAAACCGACATTTGCACGGTAACTTGTATAATAAGGGACATCGAGGCGATTCAATTTCGGTGGTTGAAGCACGAAGGGGTGACAAGTAGAAGTAGGTTTCGTGAAGAATCGCTTTTTATGAAGATTTTACACCTTATAACATTTACAATTTTGTATCCAAGTTATTTGTGTTTTGAAAATTAAGCTTTCTCTGGATTTTTACAGGGTGTGACGTTAACAGATAATGTATAAATGTAAGATAAACGCTTGTAGAACTGAAACATCGAGAACTAAATTCGAATTCTTGTAATTTGTAACACGAAAGTAAAATATAATTTCTTGTATATAAACTCGGTGGGTTTATTATCACGAACATCTGGCGTATTTAATACAAGTCGTAGTCTGCGATTGTATACTAATTTACATAAAAAACAGACAATCCCTAAAACGTAGGCAAATTTTTGCTCACAATGGGAGAGATCTGAGTTGAAATTATATTATATTACTTCACTGTTTACACAATGGTACTACTTTCTGACTTCCTGTATACAGGTTATTCCTCTACATATGTATTTCTATATAAACTTAATAGCTGGGTCAAATTTCTTATAATGAATGTGTTTGAATACGTTTACGCATTATGATATAAAATTACGAAAAGATAAATTGTTAAATGATTACTTTGTAGAAACTAATGCGAAGAAAGAAAGGATGGTAGAAATTAAAAAGATGATTAAATTGGAAGACAGAGAAAATTCTGGTTTGTCTACGCCCAAAGATGAATCGTTGGAAGATAATGAAGTAAGAAAATATTTTCTAATATTTTTTACTTTACACTTATATATTTTTTGTCGTTTCTGCTAAACATTTCAGATTTTCGTTTTTTTTTCGCTGTGTCTACAATGATATTATCCACTTTAAATAATAGCACGAAATCATTTGACTTATAAAGTATATGTTCAAAATTGAAAACATTAAATGATTATACGCATTAAATATTACTTTGGGAATGGTCAAAATTAGAAAAAGACAAATTAAGATATTTAATTATTGGAGAATTTTGCGTTACAAGCGAACATTTAATCATTTTAGCTTGTTGTTCACAAAATCCGTTTAATTTAATTAAAATCCTTTTGTAAATGTTTGTCATTTAAATTTAGTTTTCATATTTATCCATTTTTGATAACATTTAATGAAGACAACTCGTGTCTTTCTAATAGGAAATTTTCAAGTCGTTTAAAAGATTTAAATATAGCATTTTTATTATTTCCCATTATTTATTGTAATTATGGTTGCATTACTTTCGTAGTATTATTTTTGAAGCAACATTTTATATAATTTTATTTTCATATTTCATTTACGAAATGTTTATGTCTTTTGCAGGAAACCACCAAATGTTTTGATGTTTTTGTGGAGTTTTTCCACAGAATTTCTTCCTTCATCTGTTTTGGTTGCCGAAAAAGAAACTAAAATATCAATTAATTACCAAACGTTTGTAGAAGATTGAGTGAATTTTAATTTTTACATTTCGGTGAGTTCAAACAATTTAATCGGTGTACGTTTATCATCGTATGTTTCTTAATCGTATAAAAATGAACGTTACATACCAGATTACACTTTTAATATTAATTGAAAAATTAATGAATTTATTAATTCATTAATTTTTCAATAAATATTAAATAAATTAATGAATAATAATCGCACATATAATTATATAAATTTTGAAATATACCCTTCTCTTATAATGAAAATTTTTTATGGGGAACTTTGGGCGGCACGTGAAATCGAATCATCTGCTCTGTACTTTATGTTTTTATTTTATACAGTTTGGTATGTAATTGTCTACTAGGACAGAGCTTATTAATAGGACTTTTTCTAGTGGTGTTAGGTTTATGCAATTAAAAAAAATGTATCCAGGCAAAACAAACAATCACCACGTATTTTGCGTGTACACACTTTGTTTTTGTTTCGGATTTTCAGGTCTTTCTTCAGCAAGTTTACAATGCAAACATAATGCTAAAAACAAAAATTTATAAAAATTTACAATACTATATAACAAAGATTACCGGAGAATGATATGAATGTGTTAGCATGATTTACAATTTCATTCTTGTTAATTACTTCGATATGTAAATAAATACACAGAAGAATTTCAATCATAAAATCACAATACCTTATAAAGTTAAAACACATTTTATAAAAATATAATGTTTTATAACGTTTAAAAGAATTTGTTTATTCTCACATACCTGTGCTTGCAACAGAAAACGATGCATGACATTTTTACTTAGTTTACTCCTTTTATATACTTTCCATACTATTGCTCCTGTTATCGATAATACTGTTCCATGATTAGTGGATAAATATGTTGGCATAACTGTCTTTTAAAATTGTTTTTTTCTTTTTCCTTTATTTCAATCGTATCTAAAACAATTTCACATTTTCTATGTTACTGCCGAATTTTCATTATTTTCTTTTATGGCTCTGATATGTTCCTTTATACTTATTTTGCATTTTCTCTTTGTCTCTCCTAGGAAAAAGTTAAAAATACGTTAGGTATGTATCTTTAATTTATGTGTATATATAAATGAATATGTATATTCGTTATGCACGCATAGGCCGTTCGTCAAATTGCTATGACACTCGGCAGTTACGTTTACATTCTTCTAACTTAGATAATGTCATACTTACTTACCACCCGAAAATATTGATTGAATTTCTATATATCAATTAATTTGTGTATACGTGTATACATTCGATTCGGATTCACGACCAACTGCTGGTGTTCGGTGGTTTTATTTAGATGTAGATACTATAAGTCTAAACCAGTGTTTAAATTACACAATTTTAGTGAATTAGTTGGTTAACTGATCTAAATTATGTACGTGTTTCGTGTTCTTCTCTAATACAAAATTCTGTAGAATTGAAGTCTTGCGACACTGCATAAGCAGCAGCATAAATGGATATATAGAAAGTTTATGTAGAATCTTTATGTGATAGTAATATAATTGTATACATTATAAATCACACGTCACAGTATTGCTTAATCCTCAGAGTCAATGGCTCCCTACATTTTTGGTATCCTGCAACTTGAACTGTTATGAGACCTTTCTGAAAACATCAATGAAGGGTAACGATTTAAGCTTTAGAATACCGAAAATGTAGTTGCTTCGTGGCCATCCAAAAGTAGAAAACTTAAAGCATAAGCTTAGTTAGTTTCAATAGTAGATGTGCCACTGCTCTAAAGTGAGTAATATAATTTCGTTTCAATCTTATACATTTGTATTTTAAAAGAATATAAGGATGTTGATTTTAAAAATTATGGAAATATTTAAATATCTTAGATGAAAATCATAATTATTTTTATTTTATTTTTACACAGTACAAAAGAAGTTCAAAAATTTTTGCCACTTCTACATAGTTACATTGTTGTGAATTAGCAACTATTTATTTATTTGGTTCCTGAGTGCTGACCCCTGCACGCAAAATCAATAAAAATGGCAACCAAAATAATTTTGAAAAGTTTATAATTTAAAACTTAAGAAAATGTTTGAAATTTAAAACTTTCAAGAAAAAGTTTATAATTTAAAATTTAAAAAGAAAGTTTGAAACTTAAAACTTTCAAGAAAAAGTTTATAATTTAAAATTTAAAAAGAAAGTTTGAAATTTAAAACTAAAGAAAATTTAAAATTTAAAACTTAACAAAAAACCCATAAAAATTTAAAAACAACAAAAAAACATTAAAATTTAAAAAAACAACAAAAAAATTCATTAAAAATTAAAAACAACAAAAAAATCCATTAAAATTTTAAAATAACAAAAAAGCCCATTAAAATTTAAAAACAACAAAAAAAATTTAAAATTTAAAAATAACAAAAAAATTTAAATTTAAAAACAACAAAAGAGCCCATTAAAATTTGAAAACAACAAAAAAACCTATTAAAATATTAAAAAAACGACAAAAAAACCCATTAAAATTTAAAAACAACAAAAAAACCATTAAAATTTAAAAACAACAAAAAAAT